TGAAATAAATGGATTACACTGCGATACTTTCCTGTTTCATTTTGTCGCGGGTCAGGACTGTTTGGGTTTGTTTGACAGCTACGTTCTGTTGTTCCAGGCGGCAGCGTTACGGTTGCCATGGTTACAGGGCGACGCTCTCTCTCTCTGCAACTGTGTGTTTCCTGGGTGAGAGAGCGCATTTTCGTTGTCGTTGTTGTTGTTGTGCTAAGCTAACAGGCAGAAAGCTACAAGCATAACTCTAAAGAATGTAGCATCATGGGCAGTGTAGTCCGTGCTGCAGGGAGAATGGACTGCCATACACATTATGTGTCTGTGAGCGAGGAGGGAGAAAAAGGGGAGTGGAAAGGTACGAGTTGTCATCGAGGAAAAACGGGAGCTGGAAGCATGTAAATATAATAATAACCACTGCAGCCAAGAAGAGAGCCTGACGAGCCCAGTTGTAAGTAAGCTATTAAGACTCGACTGTACGCCGTGTTCGTGTTTTCCTCCGAAAACAATAAGTTCCGTTGGAGCAGCCTTTCAACGCCTCTCTGTCTCTCGCAAGAAAAGTGACCCACACAACAAAGTAAAGCTATTTTTCGGCTATGAGCGTATTAGTCAGAGGTCCCTTTACTACAGTTCGGAGTCGCGGACCTTCAGTAATAGTAATAAATCACACAGCAATAGTACATTCATGTTGTTGTAAAAAGCATGATAATATATTAAGTAATCCAAAATATTCAGAATATGTTACTGTCATTGAGTAACGTAACGGAATACGTTACAGAATACATTTTGGGGCATGTATTCTGTATTCTGTAATGGAATACATTTTAAAAGTAACCTTCCCAACCCTGGCCAAGAGGCACACTTATTACTATTCCTCAGATTTATTCTTCTTCTTATTATTATTATTCCTCAGTTTCCGCCTGAAATTTTACAGCGTAACTCACCCCACAGTTTTGAGACATATTAATATTTAATGCAAATTTTTGCCCATTGAAATGAATGGGAAAGATTTATTTGTGGTGTGTTGGCTCTCTCTAGTGGTATGTTGGCAGTGGTACGGCCTTGTCTACCCTTATTTGTATTACCATAATGACGACAATATCAACGGCGCGCACAGCGTCACAGCTTTCAGGAACCGTTGAAATTTTTAAGGTTGCGCGAACCATTGAATAGTTATGGTAATCGCAAGGGCATATGCTTGGTGGAAAACTCCATATCCCACAATTCATAGCACGCCTCTGCCGAGTCAAACAATGGCGGCCACCACTTTGTTTTTATATTGCTTTATTAGTGTTTCTAGGCTAGACACGCTCGTTTCATTGTATTCTTAAGGTTAGTTAGTAGAGTTGCCAACCATCCCGTGCAAACGGAATGCAAAGACTCGGTGTCTCAGCTAGACTTATTTTTCATTTATATGGGCTGCTTATTAATTTATTCATTTTAGTAACGGTATAAACAGTGAAAGGTGGTGGGTTGTCCAGATGCTGGTCGATGTGGAAAAAATAACTCAGTTGTTTGGTGGTGGCTAACGCGGAGCTACAACAGAGGGCAGCTAGCCACCGGTGTATGACAGAAAGGACATGCGAGACACCGAGAGATACGAGGCGGCCGCCGAGCGACCGGGCATGGCTTACCTGGCGGTTCTCTGTCTCGTTTCACCCCCTCCTCCTCTCTCTCACGCGCGCCGCCGGTGAACTGAATTTCAGGAAAGAGGTTATATATATTTTCGTTGTGCTGACGTTTTACAATCAGTTACAATAAGTCGTACTGCGCGCTAGCTAGCATGACAGACTTTCTATACAGCTGGTGCCTGCTGTGTTACTGATGGTGAACTTTATTGTATTCATAAGGTTAGTTTCCAACCGTCCTGTGCAAACAGAATCGTCCCGCATTCAGAGAAAATATTACGCGTTTCCTGTTGAGCTGAAAAGGAACACTGTTTGTCCCGGACTTCAGCTACAATGGAAAAAGACACAAAGCTGGAGTTATTCTGTGGTTACGCTGCACAGCGGACTCTTCCCCTGTCATTCTCTCGCCTGTTGCAACTTCAGTCATGAAACTGATCAATGATCAGCTGATGGCTGTTCTCTGGTGTTTGTTTATCACCCACTTTGCGCCAGAACGGGAAACCAGCGGATGTCGCCATAAACAACAGCAGCACGTTTAAGCTTGATCAGCTGTTGTTAGAATTCATTTGATTTTAATTTCTAGTATCAGCTGATGTTTGCTGGAGCCACAACTGTAAAGCTGCTGGTCGAAACCAGGAGATGTCCTTACTGAATCATCAGAGCTGTGATGGAGAAACAGGTTTACCTATTAGGTGAAGTTATGGACTGTTTCTGAGAGACAAATAACACCAGGATACTTTTCTGTGTAGCTGACAGCTGGTAACTGTGCAGGGGCGGGTCTAGCAAAGTTTTGCCAGGGGGCCAGGTAGGCATTAACAGGGAGAGGGGGGCACAAAGAAATACTTTTCTTTCTTACTCTCATATAAAATATTTAGCTTTTATTAAATAGTTATCTGAGTCTTGCAACCAAAGTTTGTATAATAATACACAAGATTGGCTGTAGACCATTGTTAATCATTCAGAACACTGTGTAAAAATAACAAAAAGTGAATGCAAAAGTGCACAAATATTTATTTTACGTGTTTGATGTGTGTGGCGGGGCGTGGTCTGCGTGCCGCTGCAGGGGAGGCGGACCCACCTGAGCGGCATCTGCAATCACGCCTCTCAGGCGTAAAGTCTGCGCTCTCTCGGCTGTTGTTTTGGTGTGTGTCGGGCTGTGAGATGAAAAGCTACAGCCGGCTGTGTGGGTACAGCAACCATGTGTGAAAAGTGGTCCATAACGTAATGCTACAAAGCGTGTTCATGCAAACATTGTCGGGTCTGCCGTGGTACAATGGGACTTCTGCTCATGAACCTCTGCGCACAGCGTCTGCAAATCGGGGCTGTACGAAGTCACCTCATCTTTACACAAAACTGTAAGCTGTGATCTGTGAGGCGCGAGCGGTGTTTGGTTTTACCATAGTTCATGGTGGAGAATGGCTGCTCTGCTGAGTTTTGCTCTCTGTAGCCGTATGAATGGCAAACTACACTGATTAGCGGCGGCATAGGCACACTTAAAATTTCTTCTGAAATAGAATATTCTTCTTCTTATTGTTGTTGTTGGCGTGATTTTATTTTTCGTGCACTATTGAAATGATCGTATTTCATTTTCACATTTCTCTCAATTGCTTCCAGGGTTTACCTTTTACCCTTGCACCTCCTGTTAATTATACATTATGTTACATTATACATGTAGATAGATACTTTAAAAGTGCCAGAGGTACATAGTGAGGGCTTTTTACTGAGACATAATTTTACTGTGAAAAATGTTTTAGTAAAAATAAAATTTGAAATTAGGTTAATGAATGTCTGGCATGTAGAAATGAAATAAAGGCAACAGAATGCTGAAACTACAGTGAATCTATTCCTTCTGACAAACCTTCAATCAATATAAAAAATACTGCAGGAATTTTGCATCAGGCTTCAACATAGCTTGATATCAATTTCTGATTTTCTTGTTGATAAACACTTTTCAAATAAAAGGTGGAAACAGTAGATTTAAATGGCATTTTATTTTATAAATAAATAATTTTAAGACATTAAAAAGATAAGCAAAGCAGTAAGATGTTCTCATGTTTTACTGCATATTGTTAGTGGACATATTTTCTGATCTTAAGAAAAGGTGAAGAAAGCTCTGACACACTGACTGACTTGCAGCCATTTCTCACTGATCTGAAGAGCGAGGCAGGAAGTTGATTTCTAGATAAGAGTCAGCACTTCCAAGCAGAGGGGACCACATATGTGACACATGCTGTACTTGATCTAATGAGACTTGAAAGCAAACAGATGCTTTGGTGACTCCACAGTTAAATGTAGACCTTCACATTCAGCATGACTGGTCCAGTTTCCTGTCAGTAAGCCTGGTGTTTTAGAGCCTTTCAGGCATCCTATTGCTGCCAAAGGCATCGTCTTATTTGTCTTAACCTCAGATGAAAGAAAGAAAAATGTTTTACATACTTGAACCCTTTCATGCATAGTGGTCACTACAGTTACAGCTGTTCAAAGGCTGTTTTTGTGTATTTGTGTCAGTGTTGATGGTGTACTTGCACATAAACCTCTACATACACATCAGTGTCCACCTAAATGCATAAAGATGATGAACTCTCTCCCTCATACATTAAGAACTGTGGACTCGGTGGTTGTTTTTTAAAAAAAACCCTCAAAACTCACCTTTTTAAAACTGTTTTTGGTTAAATGTTTTACCTTTTTATTATTTGTTATCTTATGTGCAGCACTTTGTGATTCTGTCTAGAAAGGTGCTATATAAATACAATCGTGTTTATTTATTTATAATAAAAATACTTCAGAAAAAATCCAGGTTGAGGTCGTCGTCGTCATTCATGCATGAAAGGGCTAAAGGTTTTTAATGGCTCATATTATTATTTTTATTATTATTATAATATTATTTCTTTCTTTTTTTACATGTACATGACCCCAGTGTCAAACTGAACAGTAGTTTGTAGAGCAGTGGTTTTGATGAGTCACTGGAAACTGAAACTAAAGCGAGTGTTTTCTTTCTGTCAGAAATAACCTCTCAGTCCTGAGATAACAGATGAAATGTAAAGGTTTGATAAGGCAGGTGTTTCCAGAGCAGAGCAGGACCACCTTTTAATCTCTCCTGAAATTCGATGGCAGGTTGCACACGTATAGTTTAGCTACTAACTTAACTGATCCGTTTGCCTTGCTGTCATGTGAGTATAAGGCTGTGGACGGTGAATCAGACTAGTAAAAAGTCAAATGAGTACATTTATTGCTTTATTTTGTGCTAAGTTTCTTAAAAAAGAAACACAAAGTGGAAAATGTCCATGACGTCTGGCTGGTCTGTGCCATTGCTTCACTAAGACAGATATGTGTGAAACCCTGCATGACCAACCCTCAGTGGGCTGGCCCTGTCGCTAACTTAATATAACTCGAGTCGTCCCAAAACTGAGGTCCCTGTTAGCGTCTTCATGCCTCAGAGCCATTCAGAGTCACATTGTTCTCTCGAAGCTGCACATCTGTAGGAATGAGATAAGAGGATTTAAAGTAAAACCAAACATCAGCAAGTCGGTGAGTCACCTGAAATTCACATTTTGCATGGTTTTAAATACCCATATGATGGGAACACAGCTGCATTGTAAGATTACAGCTGTGCTGCACTGTGTTGTTTTGGGACAGAAGAGTTCATGAACAATGCTCTTAGTGTTGTCCCTCACCCTGGTTGGGCTGAAATATCTGAGGCGCACTGTTGCAGACGCCAAGGTTACATTTTTACATGCTCCGACTCGCTGTGTCTATTTTCTACATATGCATAAACTTGCTATAATTAAAAGATGCTTTAACCTTTCTGTCGCGGTTTTAAGAACTGGAAAAAAAGCTGCATTTAGAGAACAACCTTCTTCTCCTTTCTGTGTTATTTTGACACTGTTGCAAAAATATTTTCTTGGTTGTGTAATTACTTTCTGTCATAAGGGCTGTTTCTAAAGTCTTTCTACAGCTTGCATGAATCAAATTTGCTAAAAGCTGCATCGCTTGAACCTGAAGACAGCGACTTAATGAAAGCAGGACTGTGTGTCTGCACTATATTGTAATTCTCGAGCTCTGTGGAGCATCTGTGCACGAGTTTTAACATTAGGTCATCTCATTCAGCTGAAGGGAGAGCAGCTAGCTATGGAGCCACGGGCATCAGTCACATCCTTCAAGGACATCCCAGTACGCCGATGGAGCCTGCGTTCCAGCTGCAGTCTACCTTATGGCTCTTTTGCAAACAGCCTGGCGTCTCTCGCACCCGATGCTGAGGAGAAACCTGCCATATCGCCCAAGCGCGCCTATGTCACTATGTTTGTGCTTTGCTACATCAACTTGCTCAACTACATGGAGCGGTACACAATAGCAGGTTGGATGATTTCTTTGTTGATACACACTATTTACTGCTTCCAGTTGGGCAGGGCTTGCACTGAATGGTGTTTCTGGCCTTACAGGCGTCCTTACAGATATTCAAAAATTCTTTGATATAAAGGACAGCACCGCTGGACTTCTGCAGACAGGTATGATGAAGCATCTGTTTGACAAACACACAGAAGCACTGATGGAGATCAAATTTGTTTTGCTTTTTTCTTTTTAATGTAAGTGCATGGCAGACCCATGTGTCGTCAACTGCACATACAATCAGGCACCTAATGAAGCAGCGCTGTGTTTGGAGCTTTCACTGATCATTGTGTGTTTACTGTGAACGAATGATGTCATTGAAAAGGAATAACTGATTCCATCAATTTTCAGTTTTCATCTGCAGTTTTCTCCTTTTGGCCCCTCTCTTCGGTTACCTTGGCGACCGCTACAATCGCAAATACATCATGATTGGCGGCTTGAGTGTCTGGCTTTTGACTGCAACCGCCAGCTCTTTTGTCAATGAATCGGTAAGTGAGGAGTATTTTACAAGGAATAACAAAGTAACACAACTTTGCATTGCTACGTGTTCACTTTGCTCCCTGCGTTGTTCTAATTCATCACACATCTGTTGGAAAGGCTCCCGAATTTCAACATTTGACTCAGTGATTGTGGTTCAGGGTAGTTTTCTTACCAAACTCCATCAGCTGAGTCGCACTCTTGTGAGGCAGAAACTGAAAGTCCAAGATGGTTAACCTGCACCCCGTCAGACAATCTGAATTATTAAATTAAAAGAATGAACAATTTGTTTTCATTGGGTTTAAAAAAACGTTATTGTCATCTGGCTCTATAGAAACATACAGCTGTGTCATAACCACGCTGACAAATGTTAAGCTGTCGGGTGAGGTTTCATCAGATCGAGACGTCTGAGAAGAAAAGTCACAAAGCTGGTCTGCACAGGTTACGCAGAGTTTCTGATTTCAACACTGGAAATTCCAGCCCAGCGCTTGACAGCATTTTATAGTCTGTGGTATCAAAGGTTTCAGTGAAGTAAAGTGAGGACGGCACAATAAGTTATTAAGTTAGTCTGAGGTGACCAAACTATGTTGGTGAGGAGGCGCGCTGCGCTCTGTGATCACACTGGAACCGATCAAGCAATTCATTTTTGCATCAGTGCAGCTTTTTCTACAAAACAGTCTGTTTGTGTATTCACATTTGATATCCTTAGAAGTGGTTTAACTACAGGGGGAGAGACTCCTCCATCACATTCAGCTGTAGTTTTGACAGGCGCAGAGTTAAGAGGGAGTTTCAGGGAGTGGGAGCTGTGACACTCAGTGGGGTCTGAGATCATTTTCCCATGTTTGTGTTGAAAATGCATCAGAGGTTTGTTGTACCTTATCTGCAGACTGATTGTGCTGATGACTCTCCGTGCATGTAACCATGTGCGGTTGACAGAAAACATGTTGAATGTCTTTGATGTTTTTGTCTATGCAGCAATTCTGGCTTCTCGCCCTGCTGCGAGGCCTGGTCGGGACCGGAGAAGCCAGCTATTCCACCGTCGCTCCGACCATCATAAGCGATCTCTTTACTGGGGGCAAAAGGAGCATCATGATCTGCATCTTCTACATCTTTATCCCTGTCGGAAGGTAAACAGGTGTTTTTCTTTTTGCATGCTTTAACAGTTTCATTCAAATGATGCGCTGCTGCTGCTGCGCTGCTGCACGACTGAAAGTGTTGCTGAATGTTGGGTGGATGTTTGGTAGGTTTCTCCTCACCACAGTTGTTTCGTGTGCAGAGCTGGTGTTGCAATGGGTGGTGACACAGCAGTGACTCTAGATTTAGGTTTCCGTATGTTATCGCTCGGCCCCTCCCCCGTCTTAATCTCTCACTTGTTAAGATGTCATATGGCGATATGAGCTTGTTTGTGCATCATGATCACACTATTGCCTGTTTGCAGCGGTCTTGGGTATATAACAGGGCGTGGCTTTGCATCTCTCACGGGGGACTGGCACTGGGCTCTGAGGGTGAGAACATTTTTCTTATTCACGATGCAGAAGTGCGATTTGATTCAAAGTGATGCTGGATTATTTGGCTCTGTTCTCAGATCACACCCATCATGGGCGCAGTGGGACTCATTTTGATGATCGTTTTGTGCCCCAACCCGCCGAGAGGTGCTGCAGAAACCCATGGAGAGGGTGTGACTGAGCAGAGCTCTTACTTGGAGGATGTCAAATATCTTCTGAAGAAGTACGATTTATATTTTGCCCTTGCAAGTGTGAAAAAACCCAAACAAATGGTGTTTGCTTCTAAACAATCTTGTCTTCCTGGTTCTCTGACCTCAGTAAAAGTTACGTGTGGTCATCGTTGGGAGTGACGGCCCTGGCCTTCCTCACCGGGGCGCTGGCTTTCTGGCTGCCTAACTTTTTGTCCCGAGCTCGTGTCTATCAGAAACTCAGCGACAAACCAGGTGACTCCTCGGACAGGTATAGCATGACCTTTTCCCCACGTCGCTTACTTGCTCCAGCCTGAATCGGTGCAGTTTTGACCGTACTGTGTGCTCTCTTCTGCTTCCTGTGCAGTTACATCTTTGGTGCTGTAACGGTGGCCACGGGCATTCTGGGCGGGGCTCTCGGCACTAGTTTATCCAGACGGTTTAGAGACAAGGTGCCAAATGCTGATCCACTCATCTGCGCCGTGGGCATGCTTGGATCAGTGCCGTGCCTCTTTATCACCATCTTTGTGGCATCAGCAAGCATTCCCGCCACTTATGTAAGACAGACTTTGGAGCTATCCTCTGGCTGAGTATACCTCGAGGTGGTGACGTTGTTGGTTAGTCACTGAAGGCACAGCTTTAGGTCAAACTGTGATATTTAGGACAACATTAAGAAGACTGAGCGTCCTTTAATGGCAAAATTCTCTTCAGATGGTTTCTGCTGGTGGACTTGTAGTGATGCAACATGCAGCAATAGGTCCAAACGTCAAAGAAAGCCTCCTTTTTCTTCTTTCATTTAAATTCTAGTCACAATGTCAAAGGTTCACATTCAGAGTAGAGAAGTTAAAGGCATCGGTTGAAATAAAACATCGTTATGACTGAAACATGAAAGCAGCAGTGACTGTTTGTCTTGAACGTTTCAGGTGTTCATTTTCTTGGGCGAGCTGCTGCTCTCGTTGAACTGGGCGGTCTTGGCTGACATACTGCTGGTGAGCATTAACTCTGACAGTAAAAACCTCAAAGTGTCGGCTCAAATGTGACACGCCCCTTTTGCTCGTGCTTCTCGCTTCAGTATGTTGTCGTACCAACAAGGAGGGCGACAGCAGAGGCTCTGCAGATTACAGTCGGACATCTCCTGGGTGATGCTGGGAGCCCTTACTTATTAGGAGTGGTAAGAAAGTAAGCTTTAGGAGATCATCTCTGATTCTGTCACTGACCACTAACACCGATTTCATACCTGCACTGGTGTAGATCTCTGATGCTATATACCCAGGTAGCCCCGACAGGAACTTTGACAGTTTGAAGTACAGCCTGCTGCTCTGCCCCGTGGTCGGGATTGTCGGGGGAGTGTTTTTCGTCGTTACTGCCGTCTACATTGCTGAAGACAGGAAAGCAGTGCAGCAGCTGCTTGGAGGTAATAAAACACAAAAGACACAAACACCACAAACTAAATGTTGAAGCGGCTTTCGAGTGTTAATTTGTGCAAGGACGCACAAAAAGTTGTCATTTCTTTTGTAACATGCATGCTTGTGCCCGTGTGTCTGAACAGTGGTCCTCTGTTCAAGCACTAACTTCAGACAGCTCCTGTCCTCACACAGTTACGAACACATCCCCCTCATCTGCACACATGCTCCAATAACACTCTGGTGCTCTGGCAACTCAGAGGAAGAACTGGGCCACAGCTGATAGAGGACACATCGTGATCCTCGTTTGTCTCATTCTTTCCTTTCTGCGGCGCTGCTAAAGGCTCAAACAGCCGACTGTCAGCTCAGTGTCTGAGTAGCTCTGCTGTGGTTCTACGTCTCAGATCCTTCACCAACCAGTGCGTGCAAGTGCGGCTTGCTTAATTTAGCATTTTTCAAACGTGTGTGTGTGTGTGTGTGTGTGTTTCGTTACCAGAGGAACCCCAACCACCGCAGCATCCTGCACCTGAGCCCTCGGTGGAGCTGAGCAATAGGGGAAGTGTGTAACGTCTTGCAAAACGAGTCATGCAATGAATGTTAAGTTATGAGCCCCTGTTACACAGACGAACGGCTTTCAGTCTGTGCAGTGTTTAACACCATTTGTAAACGAGAGTCCGTTTCCGTTTTCACCTCAGTGTAATCTCACAGGAGAAGTTTGTCTTTTAAAATGGTCACATTGTTACCTCACAGCTCTCTGCAGTAGACTTGAAACGTGAATGCAGTTGTATTTTTCACTCTAAATGTTGTTGGTTATATTTCTATTAAATTTTCAAGCAAAACCTGCTCTCGAGTGTTGCTGAGTTACTCATGTGTGCTTCAGTCTGCCGGTCGAACTAAAATAATAAACTGACACTAAAATCTCAGTATTTCAAAGAAGACGTGTCATTGACAATACTTCCAAGGATCATCACTGAAGTGACTCACTTATTTTTAATGCAAAAGAAGAGCATGTGTGGTTTGTACGGTGAAGCTTAGCTGCTCAATTCTGTCTACTGACCAGCAGGGGGCGACTTGATCTGACAAAGTGAAAATGATATTAAAGTATAGAGTGTTGTCTGTGTTATTAAGTACCACGAGTGTCTTGTGTTGTTTCTCGGTCAGAGTCGACCCTCATCTGGTTTAAAGAAGAAAAGCAACAACAACACGGTGACAGGCACAATGCTCAAACCAAGACTCCAGGACAGGCCATCATTTATATACAGTTTGATAGTATGGTCCAGAGGAGGAATAAGTGGACGAGTGGTTCAATGAAGGAAAGAAGCAGAAAACAAAACTCTGTCATAAAGTATTTTCTGCTTTAAAAAACAAAGAAAAAAGCAAAACAAAAATGTTTGGATGCCTTTCAGAGAAAATGCTTCTGTCTGACATGAAGCAGGAGGCTGAACTTGGTGTTGTTCTGTAAGGCCGTTATCCATCTAGTTTTATGTTCTTGATGACTGATGATGACATGACTCCTTTTGCTGACGCTCATCTGTGGAAGAGCTCCAAAAACGTGCCCAAGTATTCACAGCGAGTATCGTCACATTAACCTTGACTATCCTAACCAACGTGCTAGAGCAGGGCGATATGGCCAAAAATATTTATCGCGATATATATTTGAAAATTTGCAATAACGATATAACTGACGATATAATTGATGCGAGACAAAATACAACTCCACAACATTACTAGCGCAAAAAGACAACCTTCCATTTATTTTCACTTAAACAAGAAGCTGGTTTTTATGTACATTAAAGCTTTATAAAAATGTAACGGTGCAAATGCAAATTCCTTGCTGAAAGTTTAACCAAAAGGCATTTCCAGTAGAAATGGGCTGACATATCCTGAGCATAACCATGTATAATATCCACTGAAGTTAAAAAGAGGTGCTTTGCAACATTAAACTGCAGTGTGCAGTACGTATTTTTCGGACCATAAGGTGCACGGGATTATAAGGCACATTAAGCGAAACAAAGCAGTCAGATAAATCAAACTTTATTAAACTCATTCTTCTTGCTTCCTCCACTTCTGTACCATTGATTCATTAATGTTGAATTCTCTGGCAGCTGCTCTATTCCCATGTTGTTGCAGTATATTAATGACTAACCTCGTATTGTGGATGGATTATCTCAGTTGTTCTCCTGACTGAAGTTTGGTCCGTTTACAGCATCCTGCCATGCGATTGCATTTGTCTCTAACCATGAGGAACCTTCACGTTAACTTTTATAAGTGGAAAAGTGTTAGTGTTCGTCCTCCAGCTTCCTGTTTATGTTATGCTAACATAGCTGTGTCGCTAGCGATCACGTAGCACATCATTATATACCAGCTAGCCCAACTTCAGTAACCCTACAAACGTCACTGCTGTTTAGTTTCCTGTCTTCATTTATGTTGGAAGTGATAGCAGAGCTGTACGTTTGATTTTTTTCAGAAATCTCTCAGTCAGAACATGCTATATCATGCTTAGGTAACTAGCGAAACTAGCGAGCTAACTTCCGCTAGCTTCCTGCTAACTTCTAACTCCGTTAAATGTAATAAATTTTGTTTTCATGGATGCCTGGAAGTTAAACTTCATAGTTACACCTGGTAAAGCAGCAATGCTGATCGTTTTATTAAAGATGAAAGAATTTAGACAGTTTTTAACTCTCAGTGATGCTGCAGTGTTGTTTGACCTGAAGCATACGGAGTTTAGGACCCAGATTACTCCCAGATTTAAGAGCATCTTAGTCCGACAAATACGACAATAACGACGGCCGCTTGCATGTTCTGCAAAAAAATGTGCTTTGTTGTGTATCTGACGGACAAACACCAAACCAGTTCCACATCACTGAAGCTGCACCATTTTTACAAACCAATTCTGGTTCATCTGTTTCACTCAACAATCGGCCATGTGCGTATGAAAACAAAGGCACTGCGCATGCGCGTTTTACTCCATTCTATCGCGATATTTCATTTTCCTATCGTTGCCTAACATTATACCGGTATTACCGTGAACGGTATAATATGGCCCAGCCCTACAACGTGCAGCTGCTCCTCCAGAGATGAGACCATAAAATTAAGCACATGATGGATTTAAAGATGGAGGAACAACATCCAGGCTGAATGCAAAAATACTGGGACAGCTTTGGTTGTTTAACAAAAAGCTTTCCAGTGTTTGTCCACTAGATGGCACCTCTGCATTATTCTTAAAAACGCTCCCAGGAGGTAGTCTCCTCCATCAGGGGGGCAGTATGGATTTAGCAGATGTTCACTGAGACCTCGTGGACCTGGCGTGGAAGTGTTCATGTCTGAGCGCACACAGTGAGCAGTTTTGCTGTACTGATGCAACTGTGGGTAAATAAGCCTGTTGTTGGGAAACCATTTGTAAGTCTGTGTCACCCAGCCTGGCAAAGTTTCCTTTAAGGCTGATATAATCATACTGACAATGTGAATTAAGAGCAAACAAAGAGCCCTGGGCACCGACCAGGTAAGCAAACTGGTCAGATTCCACAGCATGTCAAACCCAACAATGCACAGGACCCCAACACGTCTGTTGCTCGGGACCACAGGACACCTTCAATATCCCCTCTCCATCTCAACAAGCACCTGCTGTTTGGTCCCACAAGAGGGCGCTACACAACAATAGTTTTAATGGTTCTGATGATGCAGCTGGTCGTGTATATGTGCAAATACACAGTTCAGGAGTGTAATACAAACCCACACACCTAATGGACATACATACATACATACATACAGGTTGTCGATATATATATATATATATATAAAACATATTTTTCATCCCCGACCAGTCGCAGCAGATGGCCCCGCCCCTCCCTGCTCCTGGTTCTGCTGGAGGTTTCTTCCTGTTTTACTTCCCACTGTCACCAAATGCTTGTTCATAGGGAGCCTTCAGCTGACAGTTGTGATTTCATGCTATATAAATTGCGTTGGGCTGAGTTGAGTTGAAGCCGCCGTGCTGCAGCCTTCCTGTGTGGAGTTAGCACTATGTGTGTATGCATTCTCCCCGGCTACCACAGCCTCCTCCACAGTCACACAGGACATGCATGTTTGGTTAGTTGGCGAGTCTAAGTTGCTGGATGTAGCTGATAAAATGAGAATGGTTGTCCGTCTGTGCCTCTTCCTTGTCACAGTTGGGATAGGCTCCAGGCCCTCTGAGACTGAGACGTGGATGAGCAGAAAACATAACACAAAGTCACACTGAAGGAATGCAGCTTCACAGATTTGGGCACTGACACTGTAGCATTTTCATCCTCCTTTCATGGATGGTTACACATCATACAGTGAAGGCAGGCGTGGTGCTGAGGTGTGAAGGTGAGAAGAATGCAGCACAACCACAGTACTGTCCACCAGTGCTGGACCTTAGACCTTTAATCACCTCTCTCCATGTTAGAGGAGCTCTGTTACAGACATGGATTCCTCCCCCAGTACTGTGTGTGTGTGTGTGGGGGGGGGGACTATCCCAGCTGCCATAGGGCGAGGGGCGGGGTACACCCTGGACAGGTAACCAGCCTGTTGCAGGTCCATTACTTACACCCACATATTTAGAATCAGCCCAGTAGCAGCAAGTCTTTGGACTGTGTGAGGAAGCCAGAGGATCCAGAAGTACAAGCAAACTCCACACAGAAAGGTGGATTCAAACCCGGGACCTTCTTGCTGTGAGTCCACAGCGCTAACCACCGCTTTCCAACTGGCCAAATCCTAAACTGGCTAACTCTCTGACCTCTGTCGAGTTCACGGAGCATGATGAGTGCCATGTTCAGTGTAGCCCAGCACAAACAGGGCATCATCACCTACACCAGCGTCACAGCGTCGCGTCAGTCGGTTTCAGACAGCTGCTGCAGAGGTGTCTGCTCTGCCAAATCCTAACAGCTGCATGTCTCCGTTATTTTGAACTGGAGTAAACCATGGAGGGAGGTTAAAGGTCACTGGCCTCGTCACTTTCAAGTACAAGGTCACGCTGTAGTTGGGCTGCATTGTCATCATGTTGGTTTATCCCAGTAACTGCTGGACACGAGAACACGTGGCTAAATGCAGTCGTTTTACAGATTTTATGGCTTATTTATGAAACTTTTCACCAAGCTTGGCACTTACAAATTGAAATGAAAGGTGGAGTACAGGGACATTCATTGTTCAGGGTGTCACTGAGACACCGTCCTCTTGTTTTTCAACATTTCCGACTTTAGCTCTGTCTGCTGAGGGAATAGAGCGGGCGGCACGACAGTGCGTGCTGAATAACAAGCAGACGCACACTGAAAGGTATGTGGAAAACATTCTAGCGGTAAGAGTTCAACCTGTAATCAAAACACAATGGGTATTGTGTGGCATGTTTGAAAGCACTTTATCTGCATACCTCTCAGTTTCCCCCGTCGACCCTGGCTGTACAGGAAACTGTCACAATGGCTAATAAATTGCATTGGCCAATCAATGCAGGAGCCAGTGGCTGTTGTGGAGCGGATACAGTCGGTGTTTACTGAGGGACGGGGAGCATTTTAGTCATGAAAACAGGCTCATACACGGGAGCAGCTCTCAATCAGAATGCTGACGTGATATCATTATTCCCCAGAAATGGCTCGTGCACATCGCGAATATTTACTGTAACTGAGGAGTGGGCTTATCTAGCCTTCATTTGAGTTATTCTCACCCTTCCACCAATCAGCTGCAGAGCAGCGATAAGAGGAGTAAAACCACATTTCTGGATGTGAGGTTGCACTCGGTCCTTATCTCCAGCAAACTGCTGCAGTGTCATGACATCATAGAGAGGAAGAGCCCTCTCCACCCTCTGTACTGTCCCTTATTTGGACAATTACATCATATGGGCCCCTCGTGCATTTGGCCTAGACAAATATTTCTGATTTCGCTGTGAGGCGTCAGCACAGTCATTATTAGGACAACTATTGTTATGATGCCACCGTGTTCTTAGAGTCACTGGGTGCTTCTTGGGCGGGTTACACAAGAACAGAAGAGATGTGTTGATTGGATTGTTTGCAGGCGCGGGGGGTGATAATCCACACAGGAGCACAGGCATGCAGAAATTCAGAAGTTGTGTTAATTAACACAGTGGTTGTGTGACGGTGCCAGACAAAGAAGGAGAAATACCGATGTTGCAACGGTTGATTTTTAGGGGTTATTATATTTGTATCATGTGAAGGAAGTTGCCTGTTCATGCAGCAACATGCAGGAGATGGAGCTAGCACATGAAATGCCTTTGTCTGAGCACAGAACACAAATGTGGACTGCAGTGGAAATGCAGCCAAATCGGAGGCTTTCCCTTTAATGACACATGCACTTTTTTGGTCCTATGTATTTAGCATTCCTACTTCAGAGGCCTGCCGGCCACTGAGCTGAGGAGAGCTGATTTGCAGACTTAGCAAAAGAGTAATTACAAAGATCCATGTGACCTATAAATATGAGCTAAAGTACCACACAGATCTGCCCTCGCTGCAAGTCGGCCTCCGTCACACAGCAGCTCCCATTTCTCCATTTAAATGCACTGCGATTGTTTTTTGTGCAGGAATGCAAACAAACAAGCTCAACACGACGATACTGAAGTGCACGCTGGAGTCTGGCCCCGATTGTCTACCCCTCATACAAATCAGCTGAGACTGATGACCCGGGTCCAAGGATTCCAGCTTGGATGGAGCTGCTGGATAAATTATTC